TACTTTCCCCTTATCTACCAGTAACATTCTCAAAGATAATCCAACAGTTGTCAAACAGATTTCCTTTTCATAAATCCATGTTGACTCTGCTCAGATAGATCATAATTTTCTAAGTGAACATTTACCACATCCTTAATAATATTAAGTATTTTCCCTCCTGCTGATTGTTAAGCTAACAGGTCTGTAGTTTCCTGTTTCTTTCCCCTCCTTTTCTCAAATAATAAGGTTACATTTACAGTCAGCAGGTACCACCCCAGATTTATAGAATTTAGAAAGATAATCTCCATTGCATCTACTATCTCTATGGCCATGTCTTTCAACACTCCAGACTGCAGATCATTGGATCCTGGGGATGTCAACTTTTAGTCTCATTAATGTATCCAGTAAAAAATTTCTTTCAGTTCCAATTACTAGTCCCTTCGATCTTCATTTCTGGGAGATATCTTGCATCTTCCTCTGTGAAGACAAAGATACATTATGCCATTTTCCATTTAAAATTCTCCTGTCTCTGCTTGGAGCCACATTTATCTTTGCTAATCACTTCCTTTATACATACCTATAAAGCTTTTATAGTCAATGTTTATATTTGTTAGTTTATAGTCATGTTCTATTCCTTCTTACTTTATCCATTTCTTGTTCTTCCTTTGCTGAGTGCTAAAATGCTCCCAAACCTTAAGTATACAACTTCTTTGGAGACTTTATAAACCTTTTTTGATGTAATAAAATGTTGAATTTCCTTTGTTAGCTATTGTTGACTCATGTTTGGAGAGTGCTAAATGACCTTGTGCACCTTCACACTTCTGTAATTCTGCAAATCATACAAGTAGTGGTGTCTGTTGCATTCCATTAAATGCAATTTGTCAATCCCAAAATTTGTGCCTATACTCTCTTTCCTGTCCTCCAGTTCTCTGTCCATACTAGTATGTTACTCCCTACACCATGAGCTCTTATTTTGTACAGTAACGTTTGACTTAGCAATTGGAGTCATAGAGGAAAACAGACCTTTTGGTCCAGCTCGTCCATGCTGACCAGACATTCCAATCTGACCTAGTCCCATTTACCAGCATTTAGACCATATCCCTCTAAACCCTTCCTATTCATGTATCCATCCTGATGTCTTTGATGCACCTGCCTCCACCACTTTCTCTGGCAGCTCATTCCATACATGCACGACCCTTTGCATGAAGAAGTTACCCCTCAGGTCCTTTTCAAATCTTTCACCTTAAACCATGTCTTTTAGTTTTGGACTCCTCCATTCCAGGAAAAAGACTTTGGCTATTCATCCTATTCACGACCTTCCCAATTTAATAAACATCTATAAGGTCACCCCTCAGCATCCAATGATCCAGGGGAAAAAACCTCAGCCTATTCAGCCTCTCCCTATAGCTCAAGCACTCCAGATCTGGCAACATCCTTCTAAATCTTTTCTGCACCCTCTCAGGTTAACAACATCCTTCCTACAAAAGGGCAACTAGAATTGTACACAGTATTTTAAAAATGGTGTCAGCAATGTCCTGTACAGCCACATAACATCCCAACTCCTATACTCAATGCACTGAACAATAAAGGAAAGCATGCCATATGCCTTCTTTACCCACCCTATCTACCCAAGACTCCACTTTCAAGGAACTATGTATTTGCACCCGAGGACCCTTTGTTCAGCAACACTCCCCAGGACCTTACCATTAATTGGATAAATCCTGCCCTGGTTTGCCTTGCCAAAATGCAACACCTCACATTTATCTACATTAAACTCCATCTGTCACTCCTTGGCTCATCTGATCAAGGTGTCATTGTACTCAGAGGTAATCCTCTTCATAGTCCACTACACAACCTATTTTGGTGTCATCTGCAAACTTACTAACCATACCTCCTATATTCACATCCAAATCATTTATATAAAAGGATGAAAAGCAGTGGACTCAACACTGATCCTTGCAGCACACCACTGGTCACAGGCTCCAGTACAAAAAGCAACCCTCTACCACCAACTCTGTCTCCAACCTTCAAACGAATTTTGTATCCAATTGGCTAGCTCCTGTTGGATACTATGTGATCTAACCTTACTAATCAGTCTACTATGCGGAACCTTGTCAAACGCTTTGACGTTCATATAGACAACACGTCTTCAATCTCCTTTGTCATCTCTTCAAAAAATTTCATCAAGTTAGTGGGGCACAACTTCCCCACACACAAAGCCATGTTGGTTAATCAGTGATAGTAGGAACTGCAGATGCTGGTGAATCCGAGACAACAAGGTGCAGGGCTGGATGAACACAGCAGGTCAAGCAGCATCATAGGAGCAGAGAGGCTGACGTTTCGGGCCGAGACCCTTCATCAGAAAAGGGGGAGGGGAAGGGGGTTCTGAAATAAATAGGGAGAGAGTGGGAGGCGGATAGAAGATGGATAGAGGAGAGGATAGGTGGAGAGGAAACAAACAGGTCGAAGAGGCGGGGATGGAGCCAGTAAAGGTGGGGAGTTAGGGAGGGGATAGGTCAGTCCAGGGAGGACGGACAGGTCAAGGGGGCAGGATGAGGTTAGTCGGTAGGAGATGGGGGTGCGGCTTGAGGTGGGAGGAGGGGATAGGTGGGAGGAAGAACAGGTTAGGGAGGCAGGGACGAGCTGGACTGGTTTTGGGATGCGGTAGGGGGAGGGGAGATTTTGAAACTTGTGAAATCCACATTGATACCATTGGGCTGCAGGGTTCCCAAGCGGAATATGAGTTGCTGTTCCTGCAACCTTCGGGTGGCATCGTTGTGGCACTGCAGGAGGCCCAGGATGGACATGTCGTCTGAGGAATGGGAGGGGGATTTGAAATGGTTCGCGACTGGGAGGTGCAGTTGTTTATTGCGAACCGAGCGTAGGTGTTGTGCAAAGCAGTCCCCGAGCCTTCGCTTGGTTTCCCCGATCCTTGCTTTTCCAAATGCATACAAATGCTGTCCCTCAGAGTTCTCTCCAACAACATACTGATGTGAGGCTTACTGGTCTATACTTCCCTGGATTTTCCTTACTGCCTTTCTTAAATAACGGCACCACGTTAGTTAACCTTCAGTCTTCCGGCACCTCACCTGTGGCTGCAGCTGATACAAATATCTCAGCAAGGGACCCAGCAACCTCTTCCCTAGGTTTCCACAAAGTTCTGGGAAATACCTGATCAGGTCCCAGGGATTTATCTACCTTTATGCTTTTTAAGACCTCCAGTACCTCCACTTTTGTAATAAGAACTCTTTTCAAGCCATCACTATTTCCCCAAGTTCCCTAGCTTCCATGTCCTTCTTCACAGTAAATACTCAGGTAAACTATTTGTTTAGTACCTCACCCATCTCCTGTGGTTCCACAAATAGATGGCCTCGCTGATCTTTAATGGGCGCTATTCTCTCCCTGTTTCTCTTTTGCCCTTAATGTACTTATAGAATCTCTTTGGGCTCTCCTTAACTCTATTTGCCAAAACTATTTCATGTCCCCTTTTTGCCCTCCTGATTTCCCTCTTAAGCATACACTTACTGTCCTTATACTCCTCTCGGAATTCACTCGATCGCAGCTGTCTATACCCAACATGTGCCTCCTCCTTTTCCACAGCCTCAATTTCTCTAGTCATCCAGCATTCCCTACACCTACCATCAAATGCCTTCTGGAAATCCCAGTCCATCCCACCTGCAGATTTACTTTTATCCAAACTGCTTGTTATTCCCTCAAAGAATTTGAATAAATTGGCCAAGCACAATTTCCCTTTCACAGAAGTATTGACTCTGCCCAATTGCACAGAGGTTTTTCAAGTGCTTTGCCATAGCCTCCGTTATAATCTCCCCCTTTAATAGATCCATTCCTAAACAGCACAATGACTGAATATATTTAGTTTGAATTCTATTTAAAACTATGAAATTATCATGAGAAGCCTAACTGCAACATTGTTAGACTTCATTTGTCTTGAACATTAATTGTGCCATCAACTTAGAAATAAGCAGAATCTGGGTTACTGTGATAAGGTTGAATAGCCCCAGGAAGCTTCAGGACTGAGGTTTTTGGCTTTGCGCTCTTTAGTTATTCTCCAGTTTTCAACTTGTTGGAAGTCCTGGGAAAAGAACTCCAGTCTATAAGAAATAAGGAAAAGTCTCCTGAGGTCTGTGGAAGCTGTTTGCATGCCCGGTGACTACAGAATTCAAGCAAGATAAAATGCTCGTCATACAGCCCAGTGTATTTAATGAAGGATTGGTATTCATCGTTGAGAAGGTTTTTGAACTGGTAACTTAATTCTTTTATTTTTTAAAAAATTATCCCTTAACTGTGTCTGTAAGTGTGAGGGTTGGGGGCTAGTGGTGGGGTGGTTGGTGACCAAAGAAGATTGAGCTTAGATGGAAGGACTAACTAGGTTGCCTTATTGTTTATGTGTTCTCCTAAAGTTACATTATTAATAATAAACAGAATGTTTGTTTTAAACTTGGTGTCCAAGACTGTTTATTTGTAAATTTCTTAGAAAGAACTGAGTAATTTTGAGGGTCATCCAATATTTTAACTTCATGTATTGAGAATCCACTGATAGTGAAGCTGATTTGGTCTGGCTTGTTATTTCTGTGGGTAACAAAACACAACAGCAATCCACGCAGAGCAGAATAGTCATGTATGTGCTGGGACCACAGTCACTGATGGAGGGGCTCAATACACAAGTTAGACAAAGAAATGATAAGTAGGGTTCCATTCTAACCTACAATTCCAATTGCAAAATGTGAATTCATGTAATTGAATGAAGAGAAAATCAAACTTGTTTCCAATAAGTCCTGAAAAGACTTGAGGCTCACACTTGAAGAATGAGCACTGGGTGAGTTGCAAGATAGCCTATCAACAAGGGAATTAAAACCTCAAAACAAATTTAAGAGATGAATAAACTTGTCCAAAAAGAGAGATTGTGAAGAATAACTACTTATCCTCGTATAGGAATCGGTGATGGTCAGTAAAGTTCAAGTCCCAACTGTGTCAGAATACAGTGCTTAAGCAAAACAGAGTTTATAATCACAGCTTTTTATTTAAAACCATTTCCATTTAATGACATAAGCAAAAATCGGATCTCTGCACATTCACAGCCAGCTTTACCTCTGCACATTCATTCACTAGTTCTATCAAGCTAGACAGCACTGATAGAAGTCTACAACTTTTTTTTTTTAAAAAAGCATACTACCAAATCTCCACATCCACCCATTCTACAATTTACTCATCAGCACTCATCATTCAGACATTTTTGTTACCATTCTGAGTCATAGAGGGACCATACATGCCGTTGGGATCAATATAATTTCTTGCTACATATATTCAGTAGAGGTACACAGGCATATACTCTGTAACTGCCTCTTCTGGGTCAAAATTGTATGTTTGAGAGCACAAGACATTTCCTATACCTAGACACAAACCTCATAGGTTACTACAATTAGGGGAATTGATGAACCCTAAAGCATTTAATGAGACACTTTTAAATGTTCTACAGCATCAAAATTTAGGCATAAATGGATCTCTGCAATAGACAGTTACAAAATGAAGTATACCTCAACTCATCAAATCAACAACTACAGAGTTTGGATGGAAATGTGTGAGTATATTACTATATCAATTTTCATGGTACGGTATTCAGTACCATAAATCTCAAAGGGTATATATGTCATTTAAAATAGCAAACTGCTGCAATTAAACTAACTTGCTGGTTCTTTGGCGCTCTGTCTTCCAAATGTAAGCTGAATTCTATATTTTTGACTTTTTTTTGTCTAATTGTGATGGTTCAGGACACAGGTGATTATTAACATGCAGATTTTCCTTCTCAATAAAACGTAGCACTTTTGCCAAAGTTCTCCAACAGCGTGGCACAGATGAGGACAGAATGGCAGGTGAAACAGGGATTTGGGACACAATTGTAGCGTTTAGTCTAGTACTAAATAGAGGGACTGAAATTCTGCCGTGGCATTCTCACACAACAGCTAATTATTTAGAATCCCAATAGCTGCCTATTTTTCTTTTATGAAACGTCCTCGGAAGAAAAAGTTGGTTTTAGTTGTTTCAAACAAAGCATTTCAATAAAGCTGATTACAATTGCACCACAGCAAGATGGGGTTACATTAGTTCCTACAAAAAAAAAATGCACTGCTAATTTTAAGGCAGGATTGTTCGATAATGATGTAAATTTACTGGGTTCAGACATGTTTCAAAATGCTAGCTTGATCCTTTTTCCACACACTACCTTTGAAAGAGAATTTACCAGTAACTCCTAGGTTGTGTACAAGCTGATTTATCCAAAAACAGACTGATGCATTCTTACAAAAAAAAAAGACATGTCCAAGCCTGCATTATCCCAGATAGTTTTTTTTAAGAAAAAGAATAATTGGGAGGAAAAGGTCATAACAATTGTTAAAAAGAAAAGATGAAAATTGCCACAGCCATTGGTCTTGCCACTTGGTCAGTCCATTTTTCCCTTCTTAATTGAAGATGAAATGCTCCTAATGGCTCGACACAATTAACTCCTTGCCATTTCATGCAGCAGCCAGTTCTGAACAAAGCCTGTGATCAAGAATGTCTCAAGGAAGGAAGGCATGATCATCGAAAAGAACCAAAACTTAATACAGGAAGTTCATCAAAATATTGAAAGCTACATACTCATTTCCACACTATTACTGTTTGCTTCCACATACCCCAGCACAAAGTGCCCTTAGGTCTCTATCAAGGTCATACATCCCTTTACCCAGTTGAGGTACGACAAGAATCAACTCAACCTCAATTCTCTTTGCCTTTGGAGAAAACAAAAAATCCTTATTCCCAAATGAGGACCAGGGAAGAAAATGCCCAAGCAGAAACCATCACACATTGTGCAGCAACATCCACACAGGGAATTTTTTTCTCAACAAGTGGGGAATTCAGTCCTGCACCTGTTCCATGTGGGCAAGCTTAAACAGCAAGTCAATTGGGCATTCCACTACATTCGCTATCACAACTGACATCAAAATACATGCACTTTCTGACAAGGATAGCTGAATTGAGATTGAGTATGGATCTAGTGTAAAGCAAAACAAGGATTCCGACTGTCTTTCTTTACCCAATCCCCAAAACACAAACCTATGCTAATGAGTCCAATGATCGTGCACCAAATTGCTGCCACCTCTGAGATTTACTTACTAAGTACAAATTGGCAATGAAAAGATGGGAATTTATTTTGAGCATAGCTTAAGAATAGGGCACATTACAGTGACCACTCATTAAGCTATTTTGCAAAATGGTATTTCTATACCCTGGAACAAACAAACCATCAAATTTCAGATTTCCTCAGTCATTTTAAAACAAACAAACATAATATTTGAATGAACACCACAGCTAACTAAGCAGCTGAAGTGCACTGTAACAAATCTAACAACCTTGGAGAAGTAATTTATAGCAAGTTCTCATTGGGTGTGGAAGATCAGCATAGACTAATCAGGTGATCTGCTACCTGTGATACGGAGTCCTGGTTCTGGGAAAGATGAGGCTTAATTAGCTGCGGACTGGCAAATAAAGTTTATACACCTAAATATGTTCTAGTAAAGGCCTTTGCTGTCTTGCAAAATGAGCTGAGAAATCCAGACAGAGCTTTCATTTGCCAGAGATGGAGCATATAATGCCTGCCAATTGGACTACACCTGATAAAGCAACGTTCAGCACAGCCTTCATAAATTAGCTCAATTAGCATTCCTGATTCACTGCGTTGAAATTTCTGGGCCTGGAAGTTTCCAAAACGCTGTTCTTAATTTTGTTATCTTATTGTTGAATACACTGTAACTGAGAAAACCAAAGATCTGTTAGTGGGAGTAACTCATGCATTAATGAGAAAGTAAGTTTAACTTAATTTGTGGACTCTTAAGCTGTAACGGCTTGCAGTTATGCTCTAAAAAATATGCAAGTCTGGCAACAGCTGTGGAGTTATGATTAACATTTCAAAAGAAGGCTGGGTCACTGACTCCTGAAACGTCACTCTCTCAGATGCTGCAGACATCCTGGAAGTTTTCAACTTTTTTGTTTTTGCTTCAGATTGACAACATATGCAGTGTTTTGCTTCCATATTGATAAATTTTAGCCGACCAACATGTATGATTCAGCAATTACTGGAATGGTGTATGAAATTTAACTCATTTAAAACTCACTCATTTAAAAAGGAGCCATATTATTAATTTATGAAGTTTAATTAACTCATTTAAATCAGGGATATTGAACATGGCGCTTGTTACAGCTCTGTTTGCAATGCTATTTGCCTGATATTTGGTGCTGCTGGATTTCTGTCAGCTTGAAGTTTAGGAATTTCCATTCCTATCTCTAGGCTGAATGCTAGTTCAGTGTAGATTAAGAACTGGCGTGTTAATCCACATAAGGACAGTGAAAGGTGAATTGTAAGAATTAAGTAAAGATAATGAAAGCAGTGTATAATTACAGTAAAAAGTATTTATGGTGTGTGAAAGTAAAAAAAAAGTCATGCAAATGTGTCTGTAGCTTTAGTAAACGTATGCAATATTCCCTCAGCAAAACTATAATATGGTATTGATCAAATTCTTAGCTATTAAAATAAAGGGGACTCAATTTGATGCTTCAATAATGCAGTGAAAGGTCAACAGCACAAGCCCACTCTACTGCTGTACAGTGTTATCAATTGTGCAGCAGTGCCAATACCCTGTCATTACATGTGATTGCCTCTTATGGCAAAGAGATGATTTATAACACCACATTGATTCATGTGTGACAGTCAGTCATTCAGACTATTTTTCTTTCTGAAAGATAATGAATTGTGCTCGAATTAAGAAAGGGGAGAAAACAGATTAAGTTCAGAAAATAATCCAAAAATGAAATGCGCATCCAGTTTTCTGCATTTACAGCTCAAGTTTTGAAACATAAAACTTGCTTGTAACCACTGAAACAAAAAGTTGTCAGTTCAATGCGTCTTATGTAGAAACAAGATTCCTAATTTCATAAGATGCCTAAGTTGAAAGCCACTCATAATTAACTTGGATGCAAACAAAGGGTAGGGGCAGTGCAACCATTGACTGGATGACATGCTCACATAGTGACACAACGATGGCTTTTATGAACATGAAATTAACACTACCTGTAAAGTTCTGTCAAACTCAACATGGGCATACAACTAGAGAGGCATGAATTAGAATCAGGACTCCAGCACTTGTTGGTCGGCAATACAGCAATCAAACTGATCACAGGTTAAGTGAAAATTCAAAAGGAGAAGTCAACCATTTACTTCCTCCTCCAATCTCTTTTCTCCTGATAGCAATGAGGCAGCAGGATGCAATACCACGATGCTTCTGGGTTAGCCAGCTTTTCAAATTGATCACAGCTGAACCTTGTTTCACGAGGTGTGCAGACACTAAGAACACTGGCAGGTGCAACACTCCATATCACCCCCAACATCAGCAAGTTTGTGTGTGGGTACTGCAAATTATTTTATGATTGATATTCCCCCAGGGGAGCCACAGAATTACGGAGACCTCGCTGCTTTGAATGGTTCAGCACTTATCAAACTGTGAATTTAAGCACAGGACAATTTAAGTTGTACTGATTCCAAGTTGGAACTTCCCTCAATTCCCAATAATAGTGCTAAGTGCACTGTCATGCGATCTAAACTCTGCACGCTAGATGGGTCACAGAATCACATACTAAGCAAATTGATCTCCGATTTGATAGTAGAATAATTGGCCTCAACGTCAATTGCAGTTAGGAAAGGTCCCTCTGGAGTTTGTGCTCCTGTTGACAATGTGAGTTCAATCAATACATGGGAAGGAGGAGAGATATATGCGTTTACAGTAAGATCACATCACTAAAGTGCTCAGAGAGATGAGGAGTGTGGTGTACACAATGGAGCAAATTACTTAAAATATGTTTCCATTCTCGAAAAATCTCTCCTTCTATAAGCTTTATGCGCCCCCCTGCAGGGGTAGCAATCTCAATTTGTTCAGATTGGATGTTTGTTTCAAACCTAATTTTGATGTTCAATTATGCAACACCTTACTGCATATCAATAATCACAGCTTTTATGTTCTATCTAATTGATAAATATTCAATACTAGCTGTTGACATGAACAGCATTGTGCTAAGCTTTCACTTCCAACCACCCTTTAATAATCAATGGGTGCTGTAGAAATCAAATAAAATGTCTTAAAATGCTCCCTAACAACCTTTTTAAAACAAAAACCTCAGCAGTAACTGCTTCTTGGCTAAATTACTGCAGAAAAGATCAGAACAGAAAAGATCTCTGTTATTCACATCCAAAGCCACATTCCAGTGAACAAAACCGGGAGAAACAGCAACAATGGCAAGTATTTATCCCTTCCATAAGATTTTTTTTTGGGGAGAGGTGAAGAAAGGGGCAGGAGAGAGAGGAGGGAATGTGGAAGCAACATGCATGGTCTTTGTAGCTACCCATGTTCTACTAACAGCATGGACCAAGAAATGAATCGGATCTACTTTTTGACTCCATTGCTTGCTGTCAACTCAATGAACCTTGATCAACTGATGAATCAAAATAAATGTTTAAAAACAAAACCTTTAAATGACACCCAAATTTTATCCGGTATGATTTTGGCCCAAATACAGGCATGAGTATACTAACCTATGTGTAACATTCAGCAAGAATCATAGCATCCCAACTGTCTTTTTTCACTCACCATTAGATCTTCCAAACTTACTCACACCAACTTCATATTCCATGTTTAAAAACCAGTTTGTACATACAATTGTTTACCAGAAGTATACTATTTAACCAGTGTAGCATTAAGTCTCAATGAACCAAGCTTGAAGGAACGTTAAGTTTTACTTACATATAAAAATAAAATTTATTGTTTTTTTTTTAAATTTTATCTAAATTTAGAAGTTGCCAATCACCCGCACACATTCATACTCAGACGTCACAAAATGGCAGTCGTTTAATGGGATGAGGAGGGACCTTCAACCTGTCTAGCCGCTTGGACCAGCCAGAATTGTCTTAAAAATTTCCAATAGAAACAGTACAAATATTCTCTGAAAATGGCTCATAAACTGTTTGATTGCAGTGCCTCTACAGAACAATGCATGCAATCAGTGATTGGATGTTGTAAAAGTGGTCACTCTCAGTTTTAAGTATCTGCTACATGCCCCACCCCATCTATTACTTAAACTTTTGTCTTCCCTCTTAAAAGCTCTCTTGGATTTAATTTCCACTCTTGATTTTAAGTTATTTACACTTCTCTAAGCCAGTCAGATTTAAGCCATAGTGATGGGGAGGTAGCTCATTTCCAAATTGATCAATGGCAGGTCAGACAGCATTGCATGCTGATATTTTGTGGTTTGAAGGGAAAGACAATGCAAAGCCTTGTTAATTTTGGCTAGATATCATGTGGGAAACCATTAAGGAAATTGTTAATTAAATGTAGCCAGCAAAGTACAAAACATCTAGGAGGGATGTGCGTGTATGGGGAAGTGGGCAACAGGGATCAGAGGAGCATTTTCTCCCAGGGTAAAAGAAACACAAAGGATGTTTTGGAAAATCCACTTCTGTCACCACAAGGAGGAAAGAGTTTGTGAGGAACAATTAGAAAACTGACAAGTGATTTCACAAAGAATGCAAGGAGAATAGTTGTTTCTCCATTTAAAAATATTCAGACCAACTTATGTGGGCTGCCGTCTCCTCTCATTTGCCTCCAACACTTTACCCAATTTTCATCCATGAACTCAAAGGAAAGGACAGATCTCACCATGGTAACCCACGCTACAAATTCAACATGTATCTCAAGAGGCACTCCTATACAGACTACTGGGCAAAAACAGCAGAATTATTTGAATGCTAGTCCACCCTGAGACTTTAAAACTGGCCTCGAAAACTGAAGTTGTCATGTTGCCCCCACTATTTTGGTTCCTGAGAAGCTCAGTTCAATGTGTGTCACAAGATTTTATTAAAAATGTATGACTAAAACATCCAAAACAAAAATAGATCAGACCTCAAAACCTGCCATAAACAACATCACTACCAGGGGACTGATGATGGCCAACTTCAAGACTCTGCTCATACCAGATTTGTGACAACAGGAAACAGGAGGTTTGCATAATACGTGATCTGTATCCCACCAGTTATAAAAAAAAACGCACTACGCAACATGACTGTGCACCCAGTATAGCTACTCCTTTAATAAAATCTGCAGAGATTAAAGTCAAGATTATTCAAAAAGTTTTGATGAACCACTTTACTTTCTAAAAAAAAACTTTTGAAAAATCAGTTTGTTTTTAATAAAGAAAATTAAAACAGGTACATTTGCAAGGTGCACCCAAAATAAGATGCAAGTACCTAGTCTCAGTTAAAATATACACAGTATATATGCATACATGTACAATTCTTAACATTGCCAACCGAAGTTTTGGTATAAGCTTGAATAATTTGTGTTTCTTAACATTATAGCACCAGATTTTTAAAATCTGTCATTGAGAATCCTATACTGTGTAATCGGAACCTCCTCCAAAACTAGCCATGACTGCCATTTCTCCATAGAACACTGCTTAATGTGTCACGCAGTTATAGTAGCAAAACACTATCGCATCAGATTAGCAAGAGTCAGATTCACATATATCCAATGAACCAGTCAGGTCCGGCATTACTAACATGCCGCCACACATACTGAAATTTTTCCTCCAAACTCGATTCACTGAGCAACAAAGTGAGATAGACGAGCAAACACTGATAACATTACTGTATATAAAAAAAGTCTGACATGTGGAGAGGGGAAAGAGGAGAAGCACAGGAGGGAAGAGCAATTTGGATTGGTTTCTTTTACCTAACTAAACAACAGATTTAAAAAGGAAGCTATTCACAGAAGGAAAAATAAAAAGGACAGAGTCAGGCAGCAAAGCAAAATATTTGAGAAGTGACTCAACAGGCACAACATTTTCTTTTCCCAAGTTTCAGTCAGGTTTAGAATTCTTCTCAGGCATAAACCAAAATTAATGAAGATTTCAAAACAAATGAGAAGGAAGACAAAAAAAAAATTACCATTAGCCTCCAGTTCAGTTTTTGCCTTTGGACAGAAGGCACCACAGTAAGTGGTGATATTACTGGGAATTGTGCCCTTAAGAAATGTAATTTAAAAAAATGTTTTCAAGTGCAGCAATTTGTACAAAAGAAAAGGGTCAGTCCAGAAAGGCCTGCAAATTGCATTTTACGACCTTTAAAGTAGAATATTTCAAGTAAAGCTATGTCTGTTGCTTACTGAGTCACCCATTACTGCTGTACCCTCAACCAAACAAAGATCACTATTCTGCAGTGGTCAGTTTAATAAAGGGTGTATGAACTTAAGACGATGAAGACTTCACACTGCAGTCCAACAAGGTTTCCTGCACTGTTGCAGAAAAATATTTTTCAGCAGCTGCAAGCCTTTGTTAACAGTTCAAGCCCAGAGGTGGAAAAGAAAAACTAAATTTAAACTATTTTTCTCAAGTATATATTCTCAGCATTTGAAGTCAGTTGCCTGCACGTCCACGACCGGCGTTGTTTAGGGTACAAAAGTAAAAAGTGGTAATGGTTTCCAGAATAGTCAACACAATGTTCATTTGCGCCATTCAAATTCCCAATGTCTATCTCTTTCGTACGTGCTGACGTCTAGCCTGCAATCTCTGTCTGGTTCCAGTAGGTCGAGATCCAGCTCCTATAGAAAAGGTGGGTGTTGCTGCTGGGAGAAATAGAAATTAAGGACTGTTAATTAATGAACACATTAATAGCATGTGGCAAATTTCCTCTTTCCTTTGGCCTCTCAAACTGATTGTGTGTATCGTAGGAAATGAGGAGGGAAATGTTTTCTGTGGCGACATACGATACTCCCAACTGCTGCCAGGGTCACCTGACAAGAGTACGATACAGTTCTTTTCTGAAAGGTGATGTGACAGAACATTTTTCGGAGACAACGGACAAGGAACCAGAAAGAGTACAGACAGATCTGGAGAAAAAAATTGACCTCATTCAAGTTGGGACAATCCCAAATGGAGATGCTTGCCAGTGTGCTCTCTTTCCTTCAACCTTGTGAGCTGTTGGACTGCCAAGGTGGTGTCTAATTTACACCTGAAGTTGACACATGGGATATGGTTGCATTTGATGATGCATATCAAAACACAATTTCTTCTCCAAAAAGTCTAGGGAACACAGAACTTCAACCTAAAATCTGTTCAAAGTTTTTGTATGAACACCATTATAGAGAAACATCTTTAAAACAAATGTGACAGAAGACTCGTTGTTATATGGTATGGACAAACTACAATTTTACAGTGTCTCTACACTAGAGGCCTGCCACTGCCTTATCAAAATTACCACAATAAATCAGTGCGTATTCGGAGTCATGTCATATAGCATACAACAGATACTGAAATGCACAATTCAACAAACTTCATCTTTGGATTATCTCGAAGTTCAATAACACCAAAAAGTTTCTGATGTGATTGGTTTGCCAAATATCCTCTTAGAATGGAAAACCGTGTGATATATCTACCTAGCATACTCCTCTATTCATTTTCAAGTCAAATCTGGTAAGCTACTTCTTTGGAACTTGATCATCTTGATCAATTGTTAAACAGGTCATTTCACAGGTACCCTTCAGTCTCTTCCTGTTAGAAACCTGTTCCCTGAACAAAGTCTGATGTGATGAAGGATTCTTTCAAACAGTACTCTTCTTGGCTAAAACTCATGTTGAAAATTGTTCTGTTTAATTGCTTCATCAAGGTTTCAACTGTTGGCTCTAAGAATACGGTACTATGGTAGGGTAGTGTTTGGGCAAATGTACAAATAATGCAAATCCATTATACAGAGTCTATCCATTATCGATGCTTTTGACTTAAGTGACCTCCGAAATAGCCAAGCATGCCACTTGATTGTACCAAATCTTCAGCATACGAGACTGCAATGAATCAAAGAATTGAACAAAGACTTAGTCAAAGATCTTATGTTATTTAGAGTCACATTGGTCTGATTGATGAAAGACATAAGGTCTTATGGCTATTTACAGCAACATGTTGTGCATGATGTCTACCTCCTGTCTATAAACATAAATCGTATTCCACCAAGGAAAAATGTGTAGAATCTCTACTCCGCTGCATACTAAGGATCCTTGGAATTGGTGTAACTGCCAGAGTCAATGGACCTGAGAAGAGGAAGCAGGTAACTGCAGTACTATACATAACAAGGGTCTGTGACTGAGTACTTTCTTACCAAATGCCGATGCTGCTGCTGCACCTGCTCCTGGACTCCCAAAGTTTGTTGCTGGAGCACCAGTGGTCCCAAAGGAAAAGTTGCCACTTGGAGTACTCTGCCCAAATCCAGGTGCAGTCGTCCCTGGAAGAACAACCAGCAAAAATCAATCTGCTGTTAAAAATTCACTATGTGGTATAGCAAAAATGAAAATCTCCTGCCTTTTGAGAAAGTATGAGGAATTTCTAATGCAAGTTGCAAACTCTTACCTTACGTCCCCACAAAATCTGGCTGCTTCCTTTCTCTCTTTCAAGATGCTCTGTCATATTTTATCTATTAGCCAATAGTTCCAGGGTTATCTTTGATGTTACATTTGTACTTTTGCAATCCTTGGACAATGATTTTGCTGATGCAGAAAAATGTGATTGATACCCACTAGCCATTTCTTTAGGTTGTCTGGTTTCTTATTTGGGTTAGGAGCCTTTGCCCACTTTCAGTGATTTAAGCTTGTTACATCCTTATTTTTTTGTTTCTAATATTCTGAATATTCAATTTAATCAGGGCTCCAATATGAATATGGATGCAACACAAATGAACACCGAATCATCACTCATCCTTATAGAAATTAATTAATTGAAATTCAGATTAAAGATCAAAGCCATTCTTTTCCATCTCGGCCACAAACCCTACACCTGATGTACCCACTGTCACTCTCCCAGACAACTGGTCAAGATCAAACCAGACTGCTTCTGGTGGCATGTATGATCCCAAAATGAGCTCCTAATCATGCTTGGTGCAAGACTGCCCATTTCCATCTCCACAACAGTGCCCAACTTCGCCCCACCTCAACACATCTAATAAGCCCTCATTATCACCTTTGTTACCTCTAAATTGGACTATTCCAAAGCACTCCTGGCTGGTCTCATGGGTACGATGCTCAGTCAATTCGAGGTCACACATAACACTGCTGCCCATAACTTTACATGCACCAAGTGCTGTTTAAATATCATATCTGCGCTTGCTGCCCGATATTGTCTTCCAATTAATCAATATCTCAAAAGGTGGATCCAACACACCCCGATTCTACGGACTCCGAGGGACACAAATCGGGGGACCCCTCCGATTGTCTCACTGCCAGGTACACCAACATATAGACTTGCCAAAGAACTACAACAGAAATTGAAATACTTCATGGACAACACTACCCACTCCATCCGCTCATGCCAAGAATTCCTCAATATCATCAAGGACACCAGGATAGAAGAGGAAGAGATGATATCCTTCAATGTAACCGTACTATTTACACCCATAAACATTGACCTAGCCAAAGAGACAACTGCCACACTACTGGACGAAACAAACAGGCAAGCAACCCAGAACACCAACATCAATAAGGACACCACCATGAAACTACTGGATCTGTGCTTCACAACCCACTTCACCTTCAACGACAGCAGATACAAACAAGCCTACGGAACACCAATGGAATCTCCAATATTAGGACTGATTGCAGAAGCAGTAATACAAAGATTAAATGGACAGCACTCCCCACTATAGAACACAAACTTTGGGTCTGATATGTAGATGACACTTTTGTGGTTATTAAATGCACAAAACTAGAAGAAACCCACCGACACATAAACAACATCCTTACCGGGATAAAATTCACAGAAGAGGAGAACAACTGACTACCCTTCGTGGACATAATGGTAGAACGCTAAAACAACAGGGAACTCCAGACTAGCGTATATAGAAAGACCACACGTATGGACCAGATATTCAATTACACTAGCAACCATCCCAATGCCCCCAAATGGAGCTACATCAGAACACTTTAAACAAGCCACAACATATTGAAGCAACCCGGATCTACGCAAAGCAGAACAAGACCATCTATATGGAGTCTTCAAAAGGAATGGATACCTGAAAAGCACAATCTGCCATCACCTCCAAGACTGACCACAACAGGAAGACACAACACGACCAGAATCACTAATCACCCTACATCAAGGACATTTCAGAGATGACCATAAGACTACTCAGACCCCTAAGTATCAGAGTAGCCCACAAACCAACAACCACCCTACAACAGCTACTGACAAATGTAAAGGATCCCATACCCATAACCAGCAAAACTGGGGTAATATATACAATACCATGCAAGGACTGTAAGAAACACCACATAGGCCAAACCAGAAGAAAACTGACAATACGGATACATGAACACCAACCAGCCACCATGAGACACGATCAATTCTCACGTGTCTCAAGACACACGAACAACGAGGGACACGAATTCGACTGGGACAACACATCAATTATCGCACAAACCAAGCAGAGAGATGCCAGGGAATTCCCGGATGCCTGGTATTCCAACCGGAACTCCATCAACAAACAGAAACAAAAACAGAAGTTGCTGGAAAAGCTCAGCAGGTCTGGCAGCATCTGTGAAGAAAGAATCGGATGCTGCCAAGCCTGCTGAGCTTTTCCAGCAGTATCTGTTTTTGTTCCTCATTTACAGCATCTGCAGTTCTTTCCATCAACAAACCCATTGAATTAGACCCTGTATACAAACCACTGAGAAACAAAATCGGAAGTAAAACCAACCACCCCAGCAAACCGAGGCATATAAATAACAAACGGGACAGATCACTGATGCGTCACCAGAGGCACACTGACAATGTTACCTAGCAGGGTGACGAAATGTTTGCAACCAAACCCACCAGCTCGGTGAGCACGTCTACAATCTCAATATCTTAAAATGTTGGATTTTCATCCTCATTTTCAAAACCCTCTATGGACTTGCCCCTCCCTTTCTCAGCGACCTCCTCCAATTCTGGCACCTAGATTTAATCGCTCCATCATACATAGTTATGGCTTCAGATATTTAGGCTCCAGAATTCCCTTGCTAAACCTGCCAGCTTCTCTATCACTTAAGGCACCCCTTAAAACATGCCTTTGTATCTATTTATGCGGCAATGTAATTTTTTTGTGATGCTGTTGTTCCGGTCAAGCATCTGGAGATGTTTTGTGATATTCAAAGCACTATGTAAATACAAATTGCTATTGTGCAGATATTTCCTGTATCTTGGCTCCAATAGCTTGGAAGAGTATTCATCAGGAATTGTAACTGTTAAGATGTTGGTGAAATATGAGCTGACACAAACACCAATGCCAGAAATTGGCCTAAAAACAACTCATTCACAATAGCGATAGCACAGCATGGAGCTGGAGGAACACAGCAGGCCAAGCAGCATCAGAGGAGCAGGAGAGTTGACATTGCGGGTCAGGACCCTTCTTCAGAAAATCTTTTCTGAAGAAGGGTTCCAACCTGAAACATCAACTCTCCTGCTCCTCTGGTGCTGCTTGGCCTGCTGTGTTCCTCCAACTCCATGCTGCGTTATCTCTGACTCCAGCATCTGCAGTTCTTACTATCTCATTCACAATAGCGCCTTGGAACACAAGGCACTTCAGAAGCATTATACACGTTATGATATTGACAGTGTAAGATGATATCAGGTCAAAGACCAAAAGCTTAATCAAAGTTTTAAGAGGAATTTTAAAGGTGGATAGAGAAAGGAAAGTAAAGGCGGAGGGATTTACAGAAGAAATTCTCCAGCTTAGCCTGACCAGGGGCCCACCTGCTAAGAAAAGCCCCAAAAAGCTAAAGCAGTGTGGAACAAATAGAAAAGTGCTGTCGTAGATTAAATGCATGCATGAGATGCTGTGTCTCTTGAAAAATAAGCTGTAATAGCTTCTTTGTCTACATCCATCAACTTAATCTATTTAATCAGCCATTTTTCTAAAACTAATGTTTAACTTCTGATTTACAAGAACAATTTCCTCCTTATTCCTGAAGGTGCTGACCCTTGCTGGATATATTTGCTCAGCTGCACCAAACATTCTCGTTCTTTGTCAAGTCATCCTTCAATGGCATTGGTGAGTTCCTCAAGAGTGGGAGAATGCCGACCACACAGACAAACAGCTCAGCTGGAGAGATGAGATAGAAATTCATGGGAGATGTATTTGCGGCTGCCAACTGTTCACATTATTCTGCACTGATCTACTTGTGCTGCTCAATCTAGGACTTTGTACATCGCAATCATTGCCAATCGAAATACTGTATTCAAGCCACGTTCAGGGTTCCAGTGTTTGCATGAAACAGCTAATATTCAGCACTCCCTAGCTTCCAAAAACTAGGTAGCAGTAAACATCTGTAGGACATTTGAGCATGCAATGTTTACTGCAAAATTGCTCAGTTTGTTATTTAGTATTTTTTAATGTGGGTGGATATTTTCTAGCAGCAGCTATACTGTGATTATACAAACCAAAACATTATTCCTTCCATCAGTCATGTGTTACATTTCATATAAACCGTGTACATAGTGTTGGGCACAATACAAATCACAATGGGATAATGTCACAAACACAACTGACGGCCAAATGATTTGGCTTTTTCTTGAAAATGCAACTAGATTCCATAGACCAAACAGCCTCCATGAGTAATATAAAAGCACAAAGTTCTACTTTTGCACTTGCAAACTTGGGAGGTGATTAGATAAAGCATCTCAAATTGGATATGGATTTCTTTGTTGATCACTGGAGTTGGCAGCAGAATCGTGTGGTGTCTGATCTGTACAAATTTCAGTCTGACATTCTTAGCATTTCAGCAACACAATGCTAAATATACGTTTAGGAAGGGTTTAACAATTCCTCTTGTGTATATGAATAACTCTACTGCCTTCAAGTCCAGCAAGCTCACACTGGTCAGGAAGAGGAAAAGTAAAGTACAAATATTGGATGATTCACTAACAATTACATGATGTAGAGTTAGAATTGTGGAAAATACGTGAAAAAAAAAATACTAATATTCAATGGGATATTTTGGAAGGAAGCCACTCAAAAACATACAACATCTTTGAAGAACCATTCTCAGAAGACGACGACACTGCATGATTGCATTTATTACTCATCTACAGTTACACAAAGTAGTAATCATTGTAGAGATGATGGTCTAACAGGGCGAGCTAGAGAATTCTAAGATCCTCCCTCAGTGATGAGGAAGGAAGAATGATGAGTGGCCACTTCAAGATGCTATGTGACTTAAACATGGTGGTACCCCTGTAATATTGTTTCTCAGTTTGGTAATAGACATCATTAGCAAAAAGGCTACCGAGCTTAGCCTGATGGGTTGTGAAGTGCTCACATATAGCCACATGTATGAGTGAGTGGATACTGATATGCTGAGGAAACAGCCTGCTTGATCCCGGATGGCACTGAGCTTTTTGTTTGAAGCTGCATCAGTCCAGACAGATGTTGACTTTACCTTTTGTTGAGGCCCTCACTATTTTCCTTTTATTTTTCTAAGTGTTGAACTTTGAACAGCTACTTGTTTTAAAGGAGAAGAGAACAAAGCAGATGTTTGCCGTCGGAAACTTGCTGGAAGCTAATGCAACCGAATTATAGTTTGGACACTACAGGCAAATTGGCATAGAGCTGTTGCTATGCTTAGGGTTGGCAGCTGGTTAGATGCTGAATTGGTCAATCAAGGGAGGACTAATGCTAACCAGCCAACCATAGAAAATATTAAACTTAAGAGCAAAAAAGGGAGGAAACCGATTCTGACTGGCAGAGCAGAGAAATTTTGGGAAGCTTCCAGGCTGGCTGCTCTGTTTTTCTCT